AGCTCATCTCAACTGTACTTTCTGTACATCTGTTGCTCTCTCTCTCTCTAGACATCTGTTCTTTCTTCTATCTATCATCAACCCACCCATCTACCTACTGTCCATCCATCATCAGCAAGACAAATCTTCTTTCTTAAATCTTCTTATATATGCTTTATGAATTGAGTTGATACTGTCTAGGAGGTCTAGTTTGCAGTTATGGGCTCGATATGCAGAACATCAAGATTGCATACTTGAGTGAACTTCAGCCTAAACTGTTTTATAATATAATCTTTTTTTAATTCTTCAGGGCCTTAGTGGTCAACCACTATCTGGACCAGATATAGGAGGGTTTGCTGGCAATGCAACTCCAAAACTGTTTGGAAGGTGGATGGGCATTGGTGCCTTGTTTCCATTTTCTCGTGGGCATTCTGAAGCTGACACGACCAATCATGAACCTTGGTCCTTCGGAGAAGAGGTATGCTCTTGCTTAGTCAGCAGTTGCTTTTTCCCACTATAGATTTTAAGATATATTGGTTTTAGAAAACAAAAATGCACAACATACCTGCTGTAGTCCCACGGATGGGGTCTAGGGTGGGTAAGATGTACATAGAACATACACATACCTCCACCCACAAGAGAAAACTAAAATGCACAATACCTGGGTAAATTTCAGCAATGGTACCTGAACTTTAGCTGTAATTTCGAAGTGGTACCCGAACTTCAAATCCTTTCACAAAAATCCCTCAACTTACACATTCCTTTCACTAATAGTCCATTAGCCCGTTTCTAGGTCAATTGCCGGTTACCATCCGACGTGGATGCTGATATGGATGCTGAATCACTTCCCCTACCTCACTCTCTTTAAAGTACTTAGTAGTAAATAAATACTCCAGCACATAAGTTACACAAGTACAAGGATTGAGAAAACATCACAATTCTTCCAAGCAAAGTACAACACATCCCAACACCAACATATTCTAATGCCCTTTACAACAACTGGTACCAGAAAGAAATAAACAAAACTACAAATGCCACATCAAGTACACACAACCCCTTATTTGTAGATCTTTCACAGTCTTCTTGTCACACTGCTTCGTATCTAAATTGTCAATCTTCCAGAGCAAACCATTGATGACCTCACGATACCGTGGATGAACTTCTGGATCTATCCACTCCATATACTTACAAAAATTATGCCTCTGCATAACAAGATCAAAATTAAAAAAAAACCTTTTAGGGTGTCTCAACCCATGGAAGTAATATCTCAAAATAATTGAAAATTTCAAAACACCTACCCCATAATTTGAACAGCCCAGAAATCTCCTTCCAAGATTTGATTCAGTCCAAGTTGTCTTCAGTACGGCCTTTTCTCCGCATCTACACCTCGCGAATTGCAGGCCATGGCTGTTGTTGCTTGAGACGCTGGACATTTTCCTAAATTAGGGTTCTGGCAATTATCGGGTAAAGGGGTGGCGATTTGGGAGTGAAGAGCCGGTTTATATGCTACGAAATAGGTGAGGAGGAAAGAGAGTGTTGTAGGGGAAGTGATTCAGCATCCATATCAGCATCCATGTCGGATGGTAACCGGAAATTGACCTAGAAACGGGCTAATGGACTATTCGTTAAAGGAATGCGTAAGTTGAGGGATTATTGTGAAAGGATTTGAAGTTCAGGTACCACTTCGAAATTACAGCTAAAGTTCAGGTACCATTGGTGAAATTTACCCCACAATACCTGCACAAATTAATATAGTTCAATCAAGTTTGTGAAAATGACAAAATTATTTTAAAATACTAAGTAAAACTTGCTAATCATAATAATGCTCCAGTAACTATAAGTGCATGATAATTGTGCATTGCCTAATAGCAATCATTTTTGACAATGTTTAAGGTTTGGGTAAATAGTGGACGAAAGCAAAATGACACATTAAACTTATTTTGGATATTAAATGCAACAAATGGAAATAATTTACCCTGCCAGACTTGGGATATATTTGACAGTTGTAGTTTTTCGGGTAGCAAACCTTCCCAGCAAAGTGTTAGTTTTCTCTCCGAGTGTCGTATCTCCCGAGGAGTGGACGAAGGGAATTAGCTTAATTACTCTAATTAGGCGAAGATTAGGATTGGTTTATGAAAGTCTTCTCGGGACGATTATAAAAAGAGTAGAGTAAAAATAATAAATTAAGTTTACATAGTATAAGTATAGATCTGGACCTAGGGTCTGGACATCATTTAGATCTATTTTATCATATTAAATTAACAGTTGGAATAATAATATTTCTATTACTACTCATCTATTTCTAGATTTGTACTTAATCCATTGCACTTGAATATCATAGCCTTTTGGCATACAATATTTTCTCAATAAATAGTTAATTAAATCTTTCGAGATTAATTAACTAAATAAGGCAAGAACAATAGATTAACCATTTCAACATTAATAAAAAAATAAACAACCAAACTAGTCCGGACCCAGAGATCCGGACCCTAACTCGTACTATGCAAACATAAATTAAAACAACATTTTATTAAATAAAGAAAACTTACAACTTCCGTAAAAGCGGAACAGAACAGAACGGGAGTAGAATTTCTCCAGAAATTACTCTAAAACTACTAGAATGCTAAACTAATATTTGGAATTGAAATATAAAGCTTACTTCCCGAAAATGGGAGTGAAAGTGATGTGTTGAATGGGGAGAATCGCGCTGTATTTATAGGACAGAGGTCGAGGCGTCCAAGTCAAAACGTCCAAGTCTAGGCGTCCAGATCGGGACGCTTGAGCTGCTCCGGCCAACCAGGTTTCGCCACGTGTCTTCCTTGGTCTGAAATCCAACCAAGGCGTCCAACTCCCAAGCGTCCAAGTTGGACGCCTTAGGCCCTGGTCCGTTTGGGCTTTGCGGCTGATGCGAGATCTTGGCCCAATTTCGCTGGTTTTCGGCCCGAACGTCGATTTTATCTTCCCGAAAGCTCGTTCAAGCTCGAATCTTGATCCTTTGATGATTTATTCCCTTTTTCTCAAGCATTTGAACATAAAATGGATAATTTATGATGATTTTATGTGGAATCCATCAAAATCACATTTTATGAGATGATTAAATATTATTTATGTGCAATAACGTTTAGAATATGATGTAAATGATAAGAACGAAACGGACTTATCAAATTCCTCAGACTTAAACGTTTCTTGCCCTCAAACAACAAATTGAATAAATACAAGTATAAAGGCAAATTAATAATTGCAGAGGCAAGGTTTAAGCTACATATTATGAAGGAAAGAAGAAATAAGATAGTCATCAACCATTTTGTTAAGAAGAAATGAACCTTAGATTCTCACCCATATTGTTAGAAATGTAAAAGAATTTTGTCGAACCAATATTTTTACACCAACCTAAACAACCAAAATTTTCCAAACTTTCTTTGGGATAACTACATTTGTAAGAGTACTTTAAAGATCAAATAATTTTTAATGGCTAAATTGGAAAACATGTTCTTGCAAAAGTATTTGTCAAAGTGTAAGGGTTTAATTTTCTTTAGCATAACCTTGTCATGTTGACACGAGAAAAATTATAACCTCATCCCGTGACATGGAACCACGAGCTTTTTGGATATTCACTCTGGAAAGTCTCATCACACGACATAGAACCGCATGCTTTTTTACTCTAACACTCAAAAGGCCTCATCACGCAATATAGAACCACGTGCTTTTCGGCATACTCACCACGCCTCATCAGTTGACCTAGAACCAACTGCTTTTTGGCTAAAACAAGAATCTCGGTCTCACCAAAGTATGCTTTGAAACATCACCCCTTATACTTTGAAAATAACTCTTTTTAAGAAACAACAAATACTCATAAGAGCATCAGCAAAAAGATTTTCAATAGAGCACTTTAAAAATTGATTGATCTTAAAAACTCTTAGTAAATTGTGAATTTATCCCAAATCATTTTAGAAAACATTCCCAAAAGGTTTGAGTAAAAATAGAAGTTTGACAGAAAGTTTAAAAATTTCCAATTTTTACGGGTGATAACTAAAGATTAATTAATCAAACAATTAAAATTGATGACTATTCTATAAAAATCTTTTCCTAGAAATATATAGGCAAAACGATTCCTAAAAAGATCATTTTAACAAAATAATTCTTGCCTCCTCACACTTAAACGGAACCACGCCCTCGTGGTTTAAGAGTGTTATTGGTATTGGAGTTAATTGTTGAAATGCCCACATGCAATTACTAAGTTATCTCAATACTTACAAGATTCAACGATGAAGATTAAAATAATAGATAATCATAACATGAAAATATGAAATAATGCATAAAATATTCTCAAAATGGTTTTAAGAGTCATGTTGTGAAATTCCAAAATAAAAATCATCAAGCATCCAAATCATGTTCAAAATAGTAGAGAAAAAGAGACTTTACTGATAAAGTCAATATTCTCTCAGTAGCCAACTTCAACCAGGATTGTTGGATCAAGAAGCCTCGAAGGTTGCAGAAACCTTGTGTTTTCCCCAGGTGAGACCTCTTCTTCGCTCCCACTGTAAGGTATGCCCTACAATTCTCTCATCTGCAAAAGCAAAGACAATAAAAAAATAACTCTTGCCCCCAAAACTGGTGCGGCAAGCATAACCTCAAAAACTAATAAATAAAACTATTGAATTTATTTAATTATTTTAGTTATTTGAATGACGGTTGCCTCCCGTTAGTTATTTGGACTTCATCTTTGGACAGTGTGAAGAAGTTTGCCGCCTTGCGTTGATGAGACGGTATCATCTTTTACCACACATATATACTCTCTTTTATATGGCACATACAAGAGGCACTCCTGTGGCTACACCGACTTTTTTTGCTGGTATGCTCCCATGTTATCGAAATTAAAAATTTCTTTTCTTGATAAACTGACATAAACAAGGTTTGAAGGAGGGTGTTTTGCAATTTGAACAATAAACTTTCTTTCATTTGAAGTTGGTTTTGGCCATATAAGTTGTTTTTGTTCATATAAGTTGTTCAGGACAGTATAAGATAAAGAATAGTTCTCCCTTCGTCCTAATTAAATTTACATATTTAAAAGTTCTACGAAACATAAGGTGACATGACTATATTATTTTATCAAATGAAAAGTAAAAAAAGTGAATGAAGTTTGACCCCTGTGAATACTATTGTATACCTTAATTTGCATCTTTTGAATAATCTGGAATCGAGCTTTACTAATTGGGCTTTCATTTATCAATCCCCCTTGCAATTTAATTAAATACTCCGTAATAATAATACATTTTCAATTGCTTATGCAGACTTGAAAGATCAAGAGTTGAGAAAACTTGAGAACTCGTTCATGCTAGGATCCCTTCTTGTACATGCAAGGTTTATTCTTTTCTTTCACTTACACGGAGTATATTATATTGGAAAAGGTTAGCACATATGCATTACACATCTCTGTGGTTGTACAAATTATAAATAAGAAGGTTATTAAATGAGTCAATAAAGCAATCTCTCTATTTTAGGGATTTGGTATACACAAAGGAGAAAAGGAAGTAATCCTATTCATACTAGTTTTTTATATACATCCTTTGTTTTATAATACCTCTCTTACAGTCTTACTTCCTTTATGGGTTCATTTATACTATTTGTTATGTTTCTCTTTTAGCAATAAATACATTAATATACATACAAACACTTACCCCCACCTTTTCATTAATCTCTCCACAAATAAACCCTTTCAATCTCTATCCTAGTCAAAATTACCCCAAGAAATTTTTCTCCTCATCTTAAACTATGTGCCAATTCAAGTTTGACAACTATAATTAAACGTTGGTAGTACCTTTTTAGCTATAGATATGTAAACAAATAATTATAAGATATATTGGCACATGACACTCCTACTCCAGCTAGTGCATAGTGTTATAAGCACCAAACTTGTAATGAATATAGGTTGTTTAAGGATTTTGCAAAAATTTGGTGAACAATGAAGATATCAACTAGTTGACCATAGGGTCTTACAAATGGCATGCTGATTTATGTAAATAGATCATTATCCCATTTGAAGTTGAAATAAATCATTATATGCTTGGTTCTTTTTGAAAAATATGTTTCGAGGCAATAGAGCTGTTTGACTACCATAAATTAATTTAGAGTAATTTTTATTGTACACCAAGAATGGCACCACTTTTGACACCAAGGAATGATTTTCTTAGACATCTCATGTTTGAATGTGTGTGAGACAGACATTCTTATGTTTGTGGAAATTTTTCTTTGGTGTCAAAAGTGCAATGTCTTAATTCTTGGAGTATGTTCTTTAACCTGATGAGCTCCCATAGAGTGAACATCATGGCTCTAACTGTCCTTCATTGCTTAATCTTCCACCTACGGCCTAAGCTGTGCTTCTTATTTTTTCTAGGAGATGTTGTCTGGCATTAATAATGAGACCTCTTTCTTGGTTCCTTTTTAACTCGTGAATTATGTCCTTTTGGACGTCCTTAGGTATTTCGGTCTTAAAGGCTACAAGTTGATGTGTTGGCCACGTATCACATGCCATAAGTGGCACCCCAGGCTTATAACTATTAACTAGTTCCCATTCTTGGACCAATGACTTTAGAACGTTCTCTCGCACCTCCGCGTTACTCGAGTGTCAAACATAGAAACATGAAAAAGTGGAGCTCGTATTTCAACAACAACATTACCCTAGTGCCTCAATGGCTCCCACCCATTGCAGGGTAAGGGGGGGATGTACGTAGTGTGACCCTATGTTCAAAACATAGAGCAGCTGTTTCCAAATGACTCATGATGAGCATCGAAAGTTGCATTGACTAATTGCTACTTCACAATTGCAAGAAGCGCAAACAGTTTAAAGAGCCAACAACAACAACCCAGTTGGATCCCACTACAGTAGGGTCTGGGGAGGGTGTGTGTACGCAGACCTTGCCCCTACTCGGAAGCAGGGAGGCTGTTTCCAAGAGACCCCCGGCTCAACCTGCACAAAAAATATGATAGGGTACACAGTATAACATGGATAAAGCACCAAGTACAATGAAATGAAAGTTCTACAAGCATTAATAGAAGATTCCAATCAAACACAACACACTACAAAAAATCTCTGTAGCATCGAGTTCCTAACCAGCTACTCTAATCCTAGTTCTCCAAAGGTTCCTATCTAAAGCCATATCCTCAGTCAGGGTGAGAAGTCCTAAATCCTGCCTAATCACCTCCTTCCAATTCTTCTTAGGTCTACCCCTTCCCCTACTTCCCCCGATAACCGTAATCCGCTCGCATTTCCGTACAGGGGCGTCAGCATTCCGCCGTCTCACATGACCAAACCATCTCAACCTCGCTTCCCGCAATTTATCTTCCACCGGCGTCATGCCTACCTGACGTCGGATAACTTCGTTCGAAATCCTGTCCAACCTTGTCTTCCCACACATCCATCGTAACATCTGCATCTCCGCCGCATGCAGACGACGCACATGAGTCTTCTTAACCGCCCAACACTCTGCCCCATATAACATAGCAGGTCTGACTACGGATCGGTAGAACTTGCCTTTCATCCTGGGCGAAATCTTCGGGTCACACAATACCCCTGAAGCCAACCGCCATTTGGCCCAAGCCACTCCAACACGATGTCCAACATCCCCTTCTAACTCCCCATCAGCCTGGATTACCGAGCCAAGATATCGAAACCTGTCAACCTTAGGTACTAGGTGAGAGTCAATCCTAACTTCCACTTCTGATTCTGTTTCCGTGCCGCTGAAACGACACTCCATGTATTCAGTCTTGTTCCTACTTATTCTGAACCCTTTAGTCTCAAGGGCAAGATTCAACTTGTAATCATATCATACTCCCATTATAATAAATAAAGAATTCAACTTGTAGCTTCAAGAGTTCAAGATTCGTGTCTGTATTTTTCTAAGTTTTGACAAATCAATTTCTTTGAAAGTTGCAATTTACCCATTCTTGTCACCTAATGTCCATGTTATGAACATGATTACATTGTGCTGGTTAGGAAAAAATTAGGATATTTCCATGCAATAATCTAGCATGACCGGTGCTGGTTGGAACTATGTCTGGTCACCCTCTGGTGCTAGTTGGAGCCATGTCCGGTGCTTTGCTCATAATACATGACCAAGAAATCTCTGTACACCACTGGTGCTGATTTTTCCGTGTACACCAATCATAAGTTTATTTCGGTAAGAAGTAATATCAGGTCATTCGGGTTAGGCCTTGCACCCTGTCTCAATCTTGAAGGCCCATTTTAGTCTCAGATGTCAACAATCACTAGAATGTTGCATATAACTAGTTCATCATTCCAAATGCCTTTTAATCCAAATAATAACCTCAATGTTCTTTTCCAGTTCATATCGCAAGTGTTACTCGTCAACCTTGAAATATCACTTCGTATTGGCCGATGTTACCTTTCTTTAGTGTCACCCTTACCCAACTCTTGAGACCCTACCTCTTTGATACACTGCATCTCTCTTAATGTCATTGAGCTGCATGCAGTTCCACACTCTGATTCTCAAAAACACATATATTATTCACTACCCATTGCCTTCCAAGTAGGTATACATTCTACTCGTTTTCCTTTTCTTGCATTCAACTGTGGTAGTGTTATCACTGCATTTCATCATCATATTATAATTTTCTGTCTTAGCTAACCATCCAGCCCCAGCCCCTCTTTTCCCTCAGCCCCCGCCCAATCCCAGCCACCCCCCAACTCTAGCATCAGCCCCCGACCATCATCCTACCCCCTGCCGACCCAGCCCCTCCTAGCCATCTTCCTTCTCTTGTTGCTCTTATGCCTATTTTACTTACCCTGTGTGTTTTTAATGCTACTCCTGTTTTTTTATTGATAAATGTAGTGATGCCTCGATATAATTTTTATATTTGTTAGTTGTTTGCTTGCTGTATTTTTATTAATCCTGTTGCTTGTATTATTGATTTCTGTTGTTTACTGCTGACTCTACCTTTTTTATTGTATTTGTTGCTTGTGCTTTTTTTCCTCTGGTAGGGGTTGCTTTGTGAGCATAGTGGCCTTGGTTTCCTCGGCTCGTGGAACATTGGGACTCTCACTGGTATATCAATTGAGCTGGTGCAAATTCTCAAGAGAAAGATTCAGGTGGCATGTGTGCAAGAGACCATATGGGTGGGCACCAAGGCGTGGGAAATGGATGGGTTTAAGTTGTGGTATTCCGGCTTCGTTAGGAGCAAAAACCAAGTGGGTATTTTGGTTGTGCCGGAGTTGCGGGAGTTTGTGGTAGAGGTGTAGAGGGTTAGTGATCGGTTGATGACTATGAAGCTAGTCTTGGGTGGTTGTGCTATCAATCTCGTGAGTGCCTATGCCCCTCACGCTGGCTTGGAGGACAAAGTTAAGAGAGAGTTTTGGGATTTGCTAGATGGGGTTGTAGGCAATTTTCCGCAGACAGAAAGTTTTCATTGGAGGTGACTTTAATGGACAAGGCAGGGGTTTGACTTCGGTGCTAGGAACAAGGCGGGGTTGCACTCTTGAAGTTGCTAGAGTGAGTGATTTGGTGGTTGCTAACTCCTGCTCCCACAAACAGGAGGATCATTTGGTTACATTTGTTAGTAAATTGGGGAGGATGTAGATCGATTACTTCCTTCTGCGCAAGTGTGATCGAATACTCTGCAAGGACGCTAAAGTTCTCCCAAGTGAGAATCTTACCATTTAACACCAGCTGCTAGTGATGGTTGTCGTGATCGAGTGGGTAAGGCCTAGAAGAACAACAAGTCGTCCAGCAAGTATCCGGTGGAGGAGCCTGGGTAGGGAGAAAATTCCAAAGTTGGTAACTCAAGTGCAAGAGATGGGTGCGTGGGAGTCAGCTGGGGAGGCCACAGACATGTGGGCAGCTCAGATTGCAAACTGCATCAGGGAAGCCACCAAAGAGGTGTTGGGTGTGAGCAGTGGTTCTGGGGGGCGTCATAAAGGTGACTGATCACTAGTGGTTGAGTGATGTGGTTCGAGGGAAGGTGGAAGCTACGAAGATGGCTTATAAGAGATTTGTGGATTGTAGTGATGAGGATGTTAGGGCGACTCTTCGAGCGGAGTATAAGATTGCCCACAAGGAGGCTAAGTTAGAGGTTACGAGGGCAATAAATGCGGTTTTAAAGCCTTTATAAGGACATTGAGGAGAAAGGCGGTGATAAGAGAGCTTTCCGACTGGCTAAGGCTCGTGATCTGCATCATGTGTGATGCGTGAAGGGAAGCGATGGTAGAGTGTTGTTTGAGACAACTGAGCTGACACAATCCGAAACGCATCTAGACTTTGTGGATTGTCGGCGTATTAGTCCGGAGGAGGTGGCCCGAGCTATCTGCGGGAGAGCTTTAGGACCGGATGCGATTCCAGTGGAGTTTTAGAAGTTTGTGGGCCGCATTGGGTTAGTTTGGTTAACTAAGCTCTTCAATGTTATTTTCACGATGGCTAAGATGTCGGACGTGTTGAGGGAGAGTGTTTTGATCCCTCTATTTAAGGGTAAGGGAGATATTCAGAGCTGTGAGAATTATAGAGGAATTAAACTGCTTAGCAACACCATGAAGGTTTGGGAGCACATCATCGAGTATAAGTTGTGGAAGGGGGTTTGCATTTCTGAGAATTAATTTGGTTTCATGCCTGGCCGATCAACCACGGAGGCCATTCATCTCTTGTGAAGGTTTGTGGAAGAGTATAGGGCTAAGAAGAAGGATTTTCATATGGTGTTTATTGATCTCGAGAAGGCGTACGACAAGGTGCCGAGAGAGGTTTTGTGGAGGTGTCTTGAGGTGAGAGGGGTGCGGATCGCTTACATTCGTGCAGTCAGAGATTAGTACGACAGGGCAAGAACTAGGTTAAAGATTGTCGGGGGTTACTCTGATGATGGACATTCTCACGCTAGGAGTTCAAGGGGAAGTCCCATGGTGCATGCTTTTTGCTGATGATATTGTACTCATCGACGATACCCGCGACGGACTAAACAACAAGACTGAATACATGGAATGTCGTTTTAGTGGTCAGGAGTTAGAATCAATGGTGGAAGTTAGGATTGACTCTCACCTAGTGCCCAAGGTAGACAAGTTTCGTGGCTCAGTAATCCAGGCGGATGTAGAGTTGGACGTAGATGTTGCGCATTGTGGTGGAGCAGCTTGGGCTAAGTGGAGGTGGACTTCAGGGTTCTGCGCGATAAGAAGATTTCGAGTCAGATGAAAAGAAAATTCTACACGTCCGTAGTGAGGCCTGCTATGCTTTATGGTGCAGAGTGCTTAAGAAACCCACATTCATCAATTACATGTTGCAGAGATGCAGATGCTGCGGTGGATGATTGGAAAGACGGGGATGAACAAGATTCATAACAAGGTCACCCGAAGATTGGTAGGCATGGCCCTTGTGGAGGATAAGCTACGTGAAGCTAGGTTGAGATGGTTTAGGCATGTGAGGTAGCGGTGTGCTGATGCCCCTGTGTGGAGATGCGAGAGACTTACGTTGGCGGGTGGGAGTAAGGGAAGAGATAGACCTAGGAAGAATTGGAAAGAAGTGATTTGTCAGGATCTAAGACTTCTTGCCCTTACCGAGGATATGATCTTAGATAGGAGCATCTAGAGAACTAGAATTAGTGTAGTCGGTTAGGCGCTTTGGACTTAGTGGTAGTTTCTCTGCTTGGTGTGTGCTTGGTTTGTCGTGTAGATTTGGGCTTTGTGCTTGTTTTGTTTTTGTTCCGTTTAATTAGTTTGTTCTAGGCCTTTATGTGTTTTTTTTGTTATCTCTGCCATATGCATTCTGTGATCTCATTATCTCTTTTCTATTTGAGCTCTTGGAAACAGCCTCTCTACTCTTGTGTAGAGGCAAGGTATGAATACACACACCCTACCCAGAGTTGTTGTTATTGTTGTCTTAGCTTACCAGTAACCAGCATGTCTCTCCCAAAAACTCTTTGAGAAGCACTCTCACTTTCTAGGCAGCGTCAAGCAAGTGTTAAGTGAGATGGATGCCTTGCAGATATATGGATGACACCGAAGCTCTAGTGGGCAAAATTGTATCTGTTCCATCATTCACGCTATGAGTCATTAGCCAGTGTTACAACTTACAACTTAACATCAAGAATCTTTTCCTTCATGGTGACCAGCAAGAGTATATTAACATGGAGAAACCTTGAGGATTCATTGCTCAAGAGGAGATTAGTAGTATTTTAGTATTTAAACTTTGACACTCACTTTATGACCTTGAACAATCTTCATGAGCATGGTTTGGGTAATCCAGCTCTGTTTGCGAGTTCGGATTGATCTTCAGTGAGATTGGTTACTCTTATCTGGGAAATGTAATTGTTTTCTCTGTGGATGAAGGTCAAGTCAAACTAAAAACTTAGTCTATGGACGGAGGAATTATATACATGGGTCCTAATGCAATTTGAGGTTAAACATTTCTTCACATTCATGTTGTTTTTGTTTCTTCTTTTTTATAATATTTCACAGTTTCCCTTGTTTGTGTCTCAACATTTAATTTGTTTGGGAAACAAATGCATTCATGGAATACATATTATTTGTATAGTGTAATGACACTAATGGTATGCTGGCTTTAAGCAGTACGGAGCATGATGAGGAGGTGGACCAAGTTCAGAGGAAACTACCAAACGGCATATGGTTAAGCTTTGATTTTGAAGATTCACATCCGGTGGTTATTACTAGAAACATACTCTATCCCACTAATAATGTACCCCGGTTATTACTAGAGACATTCTCCATTCTTATAAAATTATGACTATTTCCTTTTTTACCGTTCACACCAAACATCACTTTCATTTTAAGGAAAGAATTGTGCGGTTGACGTTTTACCTCTTTTTAAAGAAATCTTAACCTCACATTTTCAGTTTCTTAATAAGCATGTCACTTCCCACTATGAACTTTATATTGGGACGGAGGGGATCATTTATTACGAAATGATCCTTACATATTTTCATATCCTGTTTTTGTGATTTCTTTCAATCTGGAAATTTTAGGATTTACCAGCGTTATACCTTCGAGGTGGATCAATTATTCCTGTAGGTCTTCCATATCAGCATGTTGGTGAAGCTAACCTTACAGATGATTTATCTCTTCTTGTGGCTCTTGATGAACAAGGTAACCTTCTCATAATAGTAGTTATTATTGGACTTACTACTGTAGGTGGTTACACACACTATATGCATATGTAATAGTAACTCATCTTTTATGTATGTGGAATGAGAAGTGTCTGGAAAATAAAGTCATTTTATTTAAATCAGTTATGTATGTGGTTGGGTTTCTTTTTTTTTGTTCTTGGTTTTATTATTGTTGTGGACTTGTTTTTGTCAGTTGTATCGAATTCTAAATTTATGGTTAAAACCCATTTTTGTTTTCAGAAAAAGCAAAACGTATCCCAGATGTAAGTAGTCTCTGAACTTGCAAGAGTACCGGCCATATTAAAACCCATTTTTGTTTTCATACTTGATTTCTTTTTGCCTTTTTTACTCTGGCAGGAAATCAATGGCTTCACTTTTTTTTTAAATCGATTTATATATGGATATACAGAGTACAGTATTTTATATAAAAAAAATTAATATTTCAAAATTTGGTTTTATTAGAGAATTATTGATATTTTATTACGGAGTATATCAATATACATAATTTATTCTTTTCATATATTGATAGAAATATTTAAGAAAACATATAAGAGGAAGAACTTTTTTTTATTTATTATATTGATAAAGAAATATTTGTACTAAATAACACTAAAACTTAAATCATTTTTCTCAATAGCATTTAAATTATTTTTTTTCTAAAGAGCACTTAATAATGTCTTAAAAGATGAATAATGTCCAATGATGACAAATATTTATTTGAATAATGACTAAAAATACTACATTAGAAAAAAAATACTACCTCCGTCCCAAAAAAATTTACACGTTTTGACTAAAGTTGAAATTAAGGTAGGGATAATTTTGTGTTGAATTTTCTAAAATACCCTTGATGTGATGGGTAAAAGTATGATGTGATGTGTAGATTATTAAGAAAAAGATATGATGTGTCGATTATTCGCAATGCACCCAAGCTAACCCCAAACCAAACTTCTGTGTTTTGTAACTTAGACCCGTTCAACTTTTTTTTATTCTTATTAAAATCAAATCAGATTAGATTAGATCAAATCATATCAGATCTTATCAGACCAGATCAGATTCCATCAAAAATTATTATTTATTACTATTGCTGTTGTTGTTGTTGTTGTTAAAAATGAAACAGAATAAACTTTGGAAACAAGTTAAATAGAAAAATGAGAAAATAATCTTTAATTATTAGACGCCATAAAAAGTATTTTTAAAATACATTGACAATGTCAATTTAGTTCTACTTTTAAAATATATTTTTATTGCTACTTTTAATTTGAGTTTCTAAAGTTTTGATCTTTTATAAGGATGAGATATTTTAATAAAAATACAACTAGATCAGATTCAATCAGAGATCATACTAGATCTGATCAGAACTACAAAAAATTAGATCAGATCAGAAAAATAAGTTGAACGGAACGGAGCCTTAGTGACCAAAATGCAAATACAATACCTATTTAAATATTCTAAATATATAGGTTGATCATAACACCCCGACCTAAATCCGATGACAATGTGTATATATAATGCGTATAATTTAAAGAAAGGTTTGCAAAGAAACCTGAACACAATATTTAGATTAAGGAATTTAAGAGAGGAAAAAAAATATAGAATATATTTTTTGTGCTTGATTAGGACAAAAATAGAAGAAAAAACGATTAAAAAGGAGAAAGAAATAACTTAAAAGTCATCTTTGGGCCATTAACTTAACAATTAACTTTACTGAATGTGGTATGGATTCCGCTTCAGTTCTGAATTGGTCGGACGTCACTCTGTGCATATAAATGCCTTGACGCAAATGAACATCGGCCCGGTTCCATTGCCACTCGAATCCAGTGGCCACGGAAGCCACTGCCCCCTACGGAACTCCGTTCATAAAATTGATGATTCCTACCCCCCTAACCCCCCGGTAAACCCCCCTGCCAAGTCCCGACCCAAACTCATCACCCCACCTACGTCAATTGCACCTCATAAGCATAATTGACTTTAAAGTCAAAACTTTTGACTTTATGCTTACGAGGTGCAATTGACGTAGGTGGGGTGATGAGTTTGGGTCAGGACTTGGCAGGGGGGTTTACCGGGGGGTTAGAAGGGATAGGAATCATCAATTTTATGAACGGAGTTCCGTAGGGGGCAGTGGCTTCCGTGGCCACTGGAATCCAGTGGCAATGGAACCGGGCCGAATGAACATACTATCTAACATAACAATGGAAGCTCATTCAATTAATGGAAGCTCATGGAAACACATACATTATGCCAAAAGCAACGATTCAGAATGGAAATCGGAACAAGGTAAACACAGATATACATCACAAAGAGCAGATCGGGCAGACCTCGACCGACGAGGAATCAACATTTCTCCAACGGAGAACAGTACAGATGAAGAAACCATGATTGGACGAGAGAAAGCAAATAAGAGATTTGAGAAAATAGAAATGAATAGGGGGGAGATATGTGGAGGAGGAGGATCAGATGAGACAATGAAGATGGGAATAAGCCAGGTAGATTGATCTAACGATTGAGGATTGGTCTGAGATTTTATGCCCAAGCTCCTTTTTTAAAAAAAAAAAATGTGAAATTGGGAATTTTTATAATCAAATTTCTTAAGAGCAACTCCAAGGGGAGTGTAAAAATTTAAAAGCTAAATGTCATTTTTGCTCTTCAATAGTATTTAGCTTCTAAGTCTTTGATCTTCACTCCAACCATCACATCTATTTTATACACTTTCATTATTTTTAATTTTTATTATTTGCATTTAAAAATTAAAAATCGAATTTTAACCCTTCTTTTTTTTACAAAATTTTTAATCCTTCTATTATAAACAAAAACAAAAAATAAAAGCTAATCAAAAAAAATCTTCACCAGTAAATAAAATTTTTTAAAAAATATTCATTGGTGCATATATAGTGCAGATTCCCTGCCTACCAAAAAAAACTTCAAAAACAATTCAAAAAAAACAATCCAAAAGTTATAAAAATATGCATCAAATATTCCAATAAAATCTAATCGAAAATTCCAACAAATTCAAATAAAAATTCCAATAAAATCTAATCCTAAAAATAATCACACATTCAAGTTAAAATTTTAATCTAAATTTTTTTGTAAATGGAAACATTAAATAAAATTAAAAAATCACAGATCCATACCTTTCCCAAATCTTCGTCCTCTAGAGTTGGCGATAGGAAAGGATCAGAGAAGAACATGGACGAAATAAATGGAGAAAACTACTCTTCTTCAGTATTCTGTATTATTTTATTACTGTTAATGTTTTTAGCTTTTACTATAATTAACATCTATTTATAGATTATGTGAAACGCATCCTAACTTATAGTGTATAAATTGGAAGTTCCGATTGGAGATGAGAAATTAGCACACTAAAGACATCATATCCAAACAAGGCCAAAGGGAATTTCAATGTGTCCTTGGATACAAATTTGATGCCACACATTGAAAACATCATTTCCAAAGAATAATTCACAAATCACAATGGAAGTTAGGAGCAAACTCCCTATATATGTAATTAAAAAAATGCATTCTTAGTAGTGCATGTCAGTGATTTATTTCCCTGCAGTGCAACACGGAGCTGCTTACTCCGTTTAGTGTCGAAATATTAATCAAAACTGAGTAAGCTATTCTGTTTTGCTCGATTTATTTCTTAGACGGAGTAGGCTACTCCGTTCCTATTTAAAAATCCAAGATCCCTTCGCATAAAGCTCCCCTAGATCTAAAGCAGGCTGCTCAACATCATGGGCCAAAAAAAGAAAAACGACTGTTCAATATCCTTTGCATTCAATTCCTTTTTTTAAAAAAATTTTGTGAATAATTTGAGAAATATATAGATTAATTTTATAAATATGATATTGTAAGATATTAATTTAATCATAGATTGTACGTATATTTCTTATGATAATTTATTTGAGGTAATTTGTTTTTTTGTTCTATTTTTTTAATAGAATTTTGTGAAAATATTGACAAATATATAGTTTAATCTTACAAATTTGATATTATAAAATAATTCCTCCGTTCCAAAAAGTTTTACACATTTTGACTAAAGTAGAAAATAAAGAAGAAATAATTTTGTGTTGTCTTTCCAAAAATAACCTTAATTTGATATGTAAAAGTAAGATGTGATGTGTATATTATAAGAAAAAAAGTATGATGTGATAGGTAGAGTTTGAAAAAGTAATGTGTAAAAGTGGTTTTTAATAGAAATGGGTAGGAGATTGTGGGACGCAAATTTTTTGAAAGGTATAACTCTTTTTGGGACGGAGGGAGTATTTATTTAGCCATTATCTTTAGTAGTTTTCTTACGTTTAATATACTGTGCTGGGTACTTAATGTTTTGAGGTTTTAAACCGTTTGTTCAGATATTTGTTTATGTTGAAATATTTGGTTTGATAAATTATTTTTTTACGGTGTTATGTTGATATAATATCCACTCCCACCTACCCGACAATAATAATCACACCCATCTAAATAAATTAATACTCACACCCACCTACCCTATAATAATAATCACACCCACCTAGCAAGTCACTCGAAAACTTTGTCTCCGCCACGTGCGAAGCACTTTCCATAGCAAGTTTCGAAGTAAAAACCTGAGGAATATGATGTACAAAGCTGGTGAGACCCCTAGCAGAAGTGAGTTTGAGCTTACACGAAGCTTACAACTTATTTATTTTATTTATGAATTTTACAAAAAATCAAGAAGCTTACAACTTATTTATTTTATTTATGAATTTTATTGTTAGTAGATTGGTGTTGTAGAGGTTGTAGGAGGTGATTAGAATTGGAAGAAGGTGAAGGGGTAGACCTAGGAAGAATTGGAAGGAGGTGATTAGGCAGGATTTAGGACTTCTCGACCTGACTGAGGATATGGTCCTAGATAGGAACCTTTGGAAAACTAGAATTAGAGTAGCTGGATATAAAGAAAAATATAAGAAAAATAATTATTGAAACAAACAATAATTGTTTGTAAAACAAAAAAATTACGGAGTATAAGAAAAGCAAACCTGGTATTTACACGGAGATGTTCAATTATTGGCTACTCCGTTTCCTAATTAAATAATTGGAACAGAGTTGGCTACTCCGTTTTGCTAATTAAATAATCGGAACGGAGTTCGCTACTCCGTTTATGGTGAATTCTGCAGTCCAAACGGAGTCACCTACTCCGCTTTGTTTTATTTGGGAAACTACACATGGAACACAAAACAAGTAATCTACACATGCAGGGAAATCACCCGGAAGTTAGACGGGTAAACATATTTTGACACTAAAATTTGGCATGCTGTAATTCACAAATTTAACATATATACACAAAGTATTGGCTTGGTATCAATCAAACACGGTAGAATTATAACATGATCCATAATAGTTAGCAAAAGGCATTAGAATTCCAAAATGGTGAAATAAAATCAACAAGTTCTAAGCTAAGGATTAAATGACGAAAATAACATTAAAACTTCCGATCGTTCGGTTTTGTAAATTAACTTAACAGTTAACTTTACTGGATATATATATATATATATATATATATATATATATATATATATATATATATATATATATATATATATATATATATGGTATAGATTCTGCTTCAGTTGTGAATTGGCCGGACGTCACTCTCTATAAATTAAACCCGATCACGGGCCCGGGTACCCGCCCGGCTCGTAAAAGCCCGCCCAAAAAAGTACAGGCTTGGATTAGAGTAATCACGTGCGGGCTGGCCCGGCCCGTAATTTCCGGGTACCCGTAAACAATGAGGGCCGGGTATGGACTTTAATATTTGAGCCCGCGGGCGACCCGGCCCAATTTTAATAATACACTATTTATACTTTGTAGAATCTAAGTTACAAAAATAAAGATACTAGAGCATTATTTCTTCAATGGGCCAACAGCCCATTAACATTACCCTATCCCACTTAAATTACCCAACCTTCGTACTTCGTACTTCATCTTTTAGATTTCCTATTTGCGCCTTTCTTCGATCATCTCTATTCGAGCTTCCCGGCCAGGTTTCTTTTGGATATGGATTTGATCTATGTACCTGCCCACTTCGTTACTATAATAATATTATGCTTTTGACTTTTGAATTTTTGCATATTAGTTATTAGACTATTCATTTTATGAAATATTTATTAAAATTAGTATATTATTAATTTAGCAGGCCAGGCCGGCCCAAAGCCCGTTGGCTTTCGTATGGGCCGGGCTTGGGTTTAGATAATAGGCCAGTTTGTTTTGTTTTATCTTTGATTAGAAAAGACAAAGATGGAATTTCCCAGCCGGGCAGAGGGAGTATAAAAGTTAGTTGAGAAATGCTAGAAGTACACCAAATGTGTACCCCATTTGTTTCCCGCCCTCTCCTTGTCCATAAAAAAAGGCAAGAAATTAAAAAAAAATGAATAAATAAAAATGGATGGTAAAGAAAGGGATAGTGTACATTAGGCCATTAGGTGGATCGATCACTATGATGCCCCTAGCATTGTTCAGAATAACTGGATCGATCACTATGATAAAAATCGTCCCACACCATGGCCAATGAATTGTTCTACAACACCATATGATGCTTAGAGCCCCGTTTGGTAAAGGTTAGTTTTCTGATTTGACTGAATCTATTGTTTTACAAATAAAAAGCATTTGGTAAACTGCCAAACAAGCACTTAAGCAAGTCAAGGACACCTATTCCACTACCATGCTAATTTAAGCTGCAGCCCGCATGGGTAACTCAGTTGGTCAAGAGCGTGAAATCTTGGACCGATGACCAGGGATCGAGTCCCGCAAGCGGCAGTGTGGGAGCTATCCAAAAATCCCATAAAGGGTGAGGAGGCTCCTTGTGTGCGGTGGGCACGGGTCTAGCGTTCTTGGCCGACTGAGTCACCATGATTTACATCCTCCACCATTCCTGTCGGGCAAGGGGGTGGGGGCGCCTGGGGTGGGCGATTCCACCTTTTGGACCGATGCTAATTTAAGCTGCCAATTTTGTCGAATTCTACTCCTGGGTCACAAATTGATATTGCCTTATCCCAACAATCTTTGGTCACCTAGCTAGTTCATGAGGAAATCAAATGCAGTTGATATAATGTTACCCCCTAAAGCATAACTAGATGACTATATGATAGAATTTGAGATAGGTATGAATAACGGGATTGAGTAATAAGACACTTGGGCTGAACCACATTAAAAGATTGAATCCAATCGATTAGTTAGTTTAACTCAAGAACTTATATACCGGATTATTTTACTCTTGGACTTCCGATGTGGGATTCACTCTAACACTCCCCCTCAAGTGGACAACCGGGCCATTTTGAATCTAACCGGTTGACCACTTGCAAATGAACTCTCGTTCCCTTGATTTTTTTTAGCGCCAACACCTAAAGGACCACGAGTCGCTGGGTATGGACTTCCAGACGAGCAATCGTGTTAAACGGGCCACAGGCCGTTGGTTACATATTCCATACGGACAACTGGGCTAAAGACAAACGGGCCACTAGGAATGAACATCTAGACGGACACCTTGACAAACAAGGTGGGCCAAAAACCTTCTCTGATACCATGATAGAATTTTAGGATGGGGTATGGACAACTGGATTGGGCAATAAGACACTTGGGCTGAACCACACATTAAAAGATTGAATCCAATCGATTAGTTAGTTTAACTCAAGAGCTTATATACCGGATTATTTTACTCTTGGACTTCTGATGTGGGATGCACTCTAACATATGCCGTTCTCAAAGCTAACAGACAAGTTGAAGAACCACTCGGAGGCTACCGTCTAGACTTCATTCTCATGTCCATATGGCTGTTTTTCTTGGGGGTGCTGCTTCTCATGGTTCCACTCGGCATTGGGGGCGTTGAAGACTCTGGTTTTGTACCCCTTCCTCCTCACGTACGTGTTTCTGAAGCCAGCTTAGCATGTGATCATTTCCAATTTCATCATCTACACTCAATCTGTTGCCAATGTTTTTTTGCTTTCTGCATGTCAAGATCTAAGTGCTCCTGCATTGATTGTTAGACATTGCCATTTTTGCTTACGAGGCATGTCCATTGTTATGGTTAGGCGAGAAAGTACTTGTCCTAATCATAGCAATGGACATGCCTCGTAAGCAAAAATGGCAATGTCTAACAATCAATGCAGGAGCACTTAGATCTTGACATGCAGAAAGCAAAAAAACATTGGCAACAGATTGAGTGTAGATGATGAAATTGGGAATGATCGAGATGCTAAGCTGGCTTCAGAAAAGGAGGAAGGGGGTACAAAACCAAAATCTTCAACGCCCCCGATGCCGAGTGGAACCATGAGAAGCAGCACCCCCAAGAAAAACAGCCATATGGACATGAGAATGAAGTCTAGACGGTAGCCTCCGAGTGGTTCTTCAACTTGTCTGTTAGCTTTGAGAACGGCATAGACTCTCCACTCAATAGTTGTGACGTCCCGATCGACGGGTCTGCCTCCTCCTCCTCCTCCTCCTCCTCCTCCCAGAGCCGACAGTCGGTCATCTTCATCCAGCATGGCAACCCCGACGGAGTAGTCTCGGCGCCCAAGCCGTGCCTTCATGGTCCTCCTCAGGTTTTTGTTTTGGTCGACCATCTTCTTTCTCGCCTCATCTACCTCCTTGAACCTAAAGGAGCACACCAGAGATGCATGCCCAAAGCACACAATGAAAAGAAAACACAGGAGCCAGAATAGTGTGCCCTTCCACCCCTGTCCAGAGAAGTGGTTGAAGAAGGGCATGGCCAGGACAAGACAAAGGACACCGCGGTTTGCTCCCATTTGATCGTTCAGTCTTTGCACCAACTCCTTCCTTTCCATCTTAAGGGAATCCTGAAGCTCCGCAAAATACACCACCAGCTGGCAGCTGCAACCTCTCATCATCTTCAGGCAGGTTCACTCCCTCCGGAGTTGCAGGGGGAATGGCAGGCGGCCTCTGCTTCCTTTTGGAGGAGAAGATCTTCTTCCACCACGAGCCTTCATTCCTCCTTTGTGGCACGCGGAACGCCCCCCTACGAAAAGACCCACCCCCGTTGACGTTCTCCATCTCCACATGGTGATGCACCTCCGGAATCTGCAGCGGCGGCGGTAGCCGTGGGGGAACGGCCGGGAAACGCCTTGGGGAAAGAGGGCGAGGGAACTGTGGAAGCATGGTGCACAATTAACCCAAGTCGGAGATGGACTTTGAAATGGTGATCTGAGGAGTATAATTGTACAGGAGAGATAGATACTATATATATGCAGCGTGCCTTCTCCCTGCCCTCTCCATCTCCTCCTCCCCCATTTTCGTTCTGAGATCAGAGATTCAAGGGAAATCTTTCCCAATTGATGCAAAAATGGATTGGAGATGCAAGCTACCTTCTATATTTATGTTTGTACGCGTGGTCAATGAAAAAAAAACCAGCACTTGAGTACTGACGAGATGATGGCGACGATGGGGAGCTCAACAAGACCTTTCGAATATATAATCACTCTTATCTAGATTTGTTGTCAGCCTATTCTCTCCCATCCTCTTTTTTTAATGTGACATTTAATTTTTTTTGTCATTTATATACTCCGTGTATTAGGGGTGGACATGGTACGGTTCCAGGACGGTTCTGGTTCCGTAACCGCCGATTCCGGCGGTACCGGCACCCCATGTCACCGGAACCGTCACCGTGCCGGTCGGTACCGGTTCCGGTTCCCGGACCGGCGGTTCCGGTACCGAATCGGCCGGTTTCGCCCCCCCCACTATTTTTTTTTGTTTTTTTTAAAATTTTTAAAGTATAAAATTGTAAATTTGCAATTGTTTCAGGAAAGAATGAAATAAAAAATCTAAAAATGTAGTTGTTATTTAAATATTTTAAATGAATAATACACTAACTGAAGAACAACCACATTTAATATCCTGACGGTTCAAAAAAAGCAACGAGGTAAAGAACCGTAAAGAAACCCTCGAAGGAGCTTATATATCGCTCACCTAAAAAAAACTAATTATATATTTACATTAACATAAAAAAATTATAACTTATTATTCAGATTTCGGACTTCCATCTATTGTTGCATTCATGTAATGCTCCGAATCGAGTTGGTACCATGACTCTTGAGCTCGACGTCTTGCCAAGAGCCAATCTTGGTTGCAAACCAGTGTTTCAAGAAATTCAGCGCTAAGACAACTTCGAAAGTTGGTTAGAATGTTGCCGCTAGCACTGAATTCTTGTTCAACTGCTACGATTGATACCGGAACGGATAACACTTGTCTTTGCTAGCATGCCGAGACATGGGAACATGTGTTCGTTCCGCTTCCACCATCCGAGCACGTCAAAATCCACGTCGTCGTCGTCGTAATCGCATGGCACACCCTGGTACATAGCAAGTTCATTGTGCGAGCTTACTGTTGTACCACTTGAACTCGTCGAAGAATGAGCACGCTTCCCTTTCTTTGCAAGAAGACCAACGACTATTCCGGCAAAACCTTTTTTGATTTCGGGGGCGGAGGTGGTGTTGTTTCTTCTTGTACAGTGTCGTATAACCCTTGATATTCCTCAAACAAATTCTCAAAAAAAAGTTATAGCATTATCTCTTTCTTTTTTCCATTCTATTAAATGACTGTAGTAATAACTATTTTCATCTAAAAACAACTATAGTAATACTCAATTAAAATTTTAAAATTTTCAATCTTAAAGTGTGGATCCCAAATAATATCTATTTTATACCCATAGTCGTAGACGGTGGGCAAATTTCTCTAAGTCTAGGAATAGCTGCAGTATTATTAGTAGCATTATCAAAAGCAAATGAAAACACTTTATCAGATAAGTTGTATTCACGTAGAATACTCTGAATCAATAGAAAAATATTTTCAGCATTATGCTGATCATTGAAATCACGAAATGCAAGAACACATTTATGCATAATCCAATCACTGTCTATCCAATGACAACTAACACCCATATAAGACAAATTATGATAAGTTTACTCCAAATATCAGAACAAATAGCAACACGAGAATTAAAATTGAGAAAAAAAATTCCAAATTTATATTTCCAATTTTATACTGACGAATAATTTCTCGTTTAATTGTTTTTCTTGAAAAAGCTCGTGCTTGAGGGTTTAATGCATGTTGACAATAATCAATAAATCCAAGTTTTTCAGAAAACATGTATGGCAAATTTTCTTCACAAATCATTTCGGCCATTTTTTGCTTATTTTGCTCGTCGCTATAAGCAAAAAGGCCGCCCTTACCTCTGTTAGCAAACCGAGAAAATTGGGTTTGCACTTCTTGTCGTCCCTTCTTTTTTGCCTCGTATTTGGCGTACTCCACGGGATGCCTCGACCTTAGGTGTTTTTCCGGACCGCCATAACCGCCGGAAACTCCCATTTTTATGACGGACCCACAATGTTTACACGTTCCATAAACTATGTCATCTTTTGTTTCTTTGTCAAAATGATAAACAAATAAATCTGATTTATATTTTTTTACCTTTGTCCGGACCTCGTGAGGTCTTGAGCTCACCTGCCTCCACGTCGACGTCGTTGCTCTGCGGTGTAGGCTCATCGTCCCCGTCCAGATTATCCACTCCTGCTTCATCAAGATCTTCGAATACACTATCCATTTTCCTTTTTTCTTTCTTTCTTTTTTCTTTATCTTCCTCTTTCCTCCTCACAACCCCTTCTTTCCTCCACTGGCTCAGCTACGCTACCACGCCACCATTGCTGAGCCACAATCGCTACCCAGGGTTGCCGCCACCCTTATCGACCGCTCATTGTCGTCATTATTATGCACAAAAGTGTCACCAGACTGCCATCAGAAAAAAGGTGTACATAGCCACTATCTCTGGCAACAATGAAGCGCATATGAACGGTGGAAGTGAGGGGTCGACAGCCCTAGCGAGACTCCGGGTGGCAATGGTGGCTCGATAGCGTTGACAGGTTAGTGGCAATGACGATAATGGCGAATCACTGGAGATGGCGGCGGTGGCAGTAGTGTGAGAGATAAGCAGGCAGAGAAGGAGGAAAAAAGAAGAGAGAAAAAGAGACTTTGATTGAAATGATGACTAGGGTTACGTTGCGGGGAGGAAGAACAAAAGAAAAAGGAAAAAAAAGGAAAAAAGAAAAAGGAAAAGAAAAGAGAAAAAAGAGAAAGAACAAAGGAAAAAAGGAAAAAATTGCTGAGTTGGAAGCCAACTTGGACTGCACGCCCGCGAAATGACTTACAACTTTCCTTGGTAAAATTTGGGTATTTTTTTAATACTCCCTCCGTCCATACATTATCTTCCCACTTTCCTTTTTCATCCATCCACAAATTATGTTCCCATTTCCTTTTTTAGTAAGTTTTATAAGTTAAAAAGACTAAAATACCCTCCCCACCCACTTCATTTCCTCTTCTTTTTCTTTTTTCTTCCTTCCTTCTTTCTTTTTTTTCATTTTTTTCACCCGCACAGACGAAGATCGACAGGGGAAGAGGATGCGCCGCTGCCGCCGCCGCACGTCCCTGGGAACATCCTAATCACCGGCACGACGAGGTTCATCACCTCCCATGTGACCAACCACCTGGTGAAACAGTACCCAAATTATAGGATCGTGGGGCTTGACAAGCTCGATTACTGCTACAATCTCGGGAATGTGAACCCTAGCTTCGGCGCCCCCAATTTCAGATTCTTCAAGGCCGACGTCACCATCATCGATCTCATCATTCACCATCTGAACCCTAGAGATGGCAACTACTTATTGTGGTGGCGGAGGAGGATGGTCGTGAGTTGAATCCGAAGGAACGCGCCTCAAGCTTCACATTTGGATGGAGAAGCTGGTGAGGATGAAAAAGGCTGTGAGGTAACAGACCGGTGGAGAGAATTAGGGAGGGTAGTTTTGGAAAGTCAAGGTTATTTTCATTCCACATAAATTTGCGCACCAAGTCAAAGCGGGAAGATTAATTGTGGACGGAGGGAGTATAAAATTAACTTTCGGTACTAAATTGAAACAACATTCAAAGTTTAGGTACCACATGTGAAATTTACCCATTTTTTATTACTTCTTTTGATGCAAGAGATGAGGAGGAGTTGTGTATTGGACCCACAAAATCTGATGTGGAGGAGAGAAGTAGGAACTAGACCTCCATTTAGTAGTTCTTCCAATGCAGATGCCCCGAGGACCATCCAAGCTAAATATGTGGGTGAGTAAGGAGTACTTCGATCTGATCCCTCCATCCCGAATTAATCATCTTACTTTCTTTAGTTGCCTCACTAATTTACTTTCCTAGTAAAGTAAAGAGTATGTGCAGTGGTCCACAACTTTTCTCTTTCTTCTAGACAAATTTCAAACATTGATTTCTTTACTATTCAAACTTTTCTTAAACACCACGAAGACAAAGTCACAATCGACCGAATTATATCTTGGGCCCTGAGTGATTGAGGAATTTAAGGTCCCTAACTCTAGGCACAATGAAAATATAAGTCAATAATAAGGACAATCGCATGAACCACCCCATTGCCTTTTATGATATGTTGTGTAACGCCCCAAAACCCAACCTCTAAGAACGAATTAATTAAAAATAATTAGTTAATAATTAATACGAACCCGGGGTTAATTAGAAAATTTGTAAAGAAATTATGAAAGATATACCGTTATGTAGGGTTCGGTGAGATGAATCCGACGGTGCAAATGGATCAACATTCGAAGTAAGTTGGCCCAAAAAGTGTATTTGCTTGAGATACATTAATTAATTACGGACGAATCCATATGGTATTTAAATAATCTTACGTGCGTGTAACCACACAGATGCCGCCTAACTCACCCCACCCTCTCTCTTTGCCGATCGACAATAGCGCCCAACCGAACGAAGAAGAAGAAGAGAAGAAGAATGAGAGAAATTCGACCGTCCCCGCTCCCTCTCTGCTCTTGTTCACTTGTAATTAGTCGTTTATCGTTTTGAGCTGAGTACGTGTAACCCTAAAGTTAGAGTATTCATTTAGGTTTGAAATTCACATTCGTAATTGTTGTGCTGTTTGAATTGCATGAAAACTTATAATATTGGTTTATTTGGGAATTTATGGGTTATGACCGAATCGACGGGTAGAACGCATGAATTAGGCTTTATAGGACTATAAGCATTTATGTGATCTTGAGTATGTTATTACAACTGCTTTTGAATGACTGGTTTGGGAAGAACTATGGCTGGAAGCGTCTTTACAATATGAATAGATCAAACAATGGGCTTTTGCGACTAATGGTAGGTCGGTACTGCTAGGCGAAACATTGCTACCATCACACGCCATGCAACAATGCCAGACTTGCTAGAAGGTTGACAATCGCGATAGCTGACTATTGATCGATGTGTGCTAACCACTGTACGGCGGTACGTCAATACTGCTACCGCCTGATAGTCACGATTTTACTAAGTACTCCCGTCTCTTTTTGCCTGAGAATCTACTAACGTAAATACAGGTTACGTTGTGTTGATCCAACACTTTGACTGAGGTAAATCCACCTAAGAGAATCTCTAGGACTGACACATGAATATTAGGAAAGTAAGAGTTTAAGCCATGTAGAGCCTACTGGGCCCAAAATGGCTATCCGGGTAAAAACGTACGTACGAGCATCCTTAAACTGCCTGGTGATCCATCACTGGAAATTCCACCCACTCAATGGAGGACTCCTGCGTTGGTTGAGCATGACCCGCCCGTCCAGTGAGACCAATCATGACTCTAAAGAAAATAAAAGGTTCTTAGTCTAGAATAAGTTATAGGAACTGGCTCTTGGTGATCCACTAACCTCGTATAATCTACACGTTTGATGAGAATGGAAATGGGCAAGTGCGAGGTAAATTGTGTGTTGAATTATGTGTGATGTATATGTTGATTGCATGATGTCACATGATGGTTTTGAATTGTGGATTTGCCTTATTGTTTACTTTGACGTTAGATATTTCTCACTCAGCGTCATTATCGAGCGTGTAGTTTGTTTATTTGCTAGACGTAGATAATCGAGGACATGATGAATCTAGAGTCGATTCCGGAGGACAATAAAGAGGAAGAGATGTTGGTTGATATGATTGAGGATTTGGAATTAATCTTTATCTCCGAATAACTTTTTACGTTTTCAGGCATGAGTCCCAAGTTGTTTAAATAAATTAAGCTTTCGGTGTTTGGATTTTTACTCCGATGATGGATTTTTAAAGTACAAAAATCTGAATAAAAGAATCTGAACAGAGGAGCTCACAGAATTTCTTAGATCAAACACATTAGAAATTAAACAAATAAAATCCCAGTAAAAGATCACATAACATTTTAGGAAAATGGTTAGTAAATGTGCCATGAGGAATTACTAACACAAACCCATAACTCACTTCACCGTCGAAGAAACCCAAGATTTCAATATTCCATCCCCAATTCCACCATTTACGCCTCAACGATGAACTTTGAAAATAAAGCAATTAGTTAAATACATAGGCATTATGTACTGAATTTATTACTTCAAATTACAGGAGACGATTATCCATAACCATGCGTCTAGGCTTTGACCATTATAAATTTTTTTTAATCGATGCAAAAACTTTAAAGCATCGTATATCTCAAAGAACCGATGCCATTGATATTATTAAAAAATAATTCAAAAAAATAAAAATGGGTATTAGTTTCGATTATTTTAAATAACCGATGCTATTACTCAATAACATCTCCCTATTTACAATAGAAGCAGGAGTGTATTACCGCCCAAACTACTGCCCGCCCGAAAGGTCAGCGGGTAACCTGCCCTATCAACCCCCACTTACCGCTAATCTCTCTGTATCCATCTACAGAGTATTACTCGGGAATTCATCAACCGCACACTTTTCTCAACCCATCGCACCTCTGCGTCTTCAACCTCCTCGAACTTTCCCCTCACGTCGTCTTCAGCTCCTGTCACTCATCTTTTCCGCTGCGGTTGATGGCCGCTGGTTAGTTGGTGGAATTCAATGGATCCTTCTGTCGGCTTTAGGCACTCACCCAACCAGAGAATGAGGAGTACTCGAAATCAGGAAGAGGGTAAAAACCTTTTGTTCTTTCTATTCTAATTTCTTTATAGTTATACTAGGATTAGAAGATATTTGGAATTTAGACTTTTTAATTTTTTGGTGGAAGGTGTCCATGCAACGGCAGTGATAGGTCAGATCTTCATGGTTTCCAGTGACAATTGGTGAGGCTGGATTCTTTGGCAAACTGAAAGAAGGGACAAGATTCAGGTGTCATCTCCTATCATTTGTGAAATTATCTAATTTTTTGTTAAAATTTTTTTAGGTTAGAAAGATAATATGCCTATTTTCTAAATGATTACAGCAAGCTAAAATGTTTCTCTATTGCTTTTTAAATGTTTTGGGAATTTTGAGCATCCCCAAAGACTTATTTCATATTGTAAACCTGCGGTAGAAGGTTCAAGCTAAGGTGAGATAATGTATTTTTTAAGACATATGTTATACTATATGCAATCAATGGATGTAAACACAATCCTCTACATATTGTTGGAATATATAAAGTATATGCTACCCCAAATTTCATATCATAGTTTGACTCTCATTATTACATGAATTTTTTTTATAGTTGATGCCGATGCAAGAAAGGATTAATTTTTAAGTTAATGACATTACTATAGTTTGTAACTTTTGGCTTAAAATTGTTTGTTTACATGTTATTGGTAAATCCTTATGACTTAATTTCTCTCATACCAGATTTAATAGAATGTAAAGATACCAATTTCTGATGTTTTTGTTGCAGAATAGAAAAAGAACTGTTACGGAAAGATGAAACTATTTACATGTCTATCCTAAAATAGAGACATCAGAGTGCAGCTATCTTCCTATTTACAACAGCAGCATGAAAATCACCCCACCCAAATTTTTACGCGTGAACAATAAAAAAATAGACAGCAACCTGCCTGCTCAACTGCAACGCGTTAATCAACTGCTCACTTTTGCACTTCCTCCATAGCGTCTTCCTTCTCCATCGTCACCTACTATAGTTCATAATTTGGCTACCATTGAACGCTAGAAGGTTTTCAGTTCGTTTGTGGAAGCCCGTGGATCTATTCTCTGTCATTTTACAGATAAATCGGTACCCAATCGAAGAACGAGAAGAAAAAGAAAGGGATACATTCACTGATTCAGGAAGAAGGTTTCACCCTTTTTTTTTTCTATTTTAATTTCTTTACATCTATAGTAGTATTTACAGTTTTTTTATTTTCATGGAGGCGGCGTTCGTCGACAGGGGGTAGGACGAATGGCCATGGTTTCAGGCAACGATAGTGCTGGGTCGATTTGTGCTTTTGATCATCTTCCCAGAAACCCAGGTATCCTCTAAAATTTCATGACTCAATTTGTAGAGTTGGAAGATAAATTCTCACCCCAGTATTGCAGAAGTTATTCGCACATAGGTCCAGGCTATGGCGTGTTTTCAACTTTTTTTCTACTTCATTTTAGCTGTATTGTGTTGTTGTCCACCTTCTTTAAATGTTCTTCAAGGTCTGGGCAGGTCCCGTCCCTTTTAAGTTTGTAGATTTGCACGGGTAAAGAGTTGTCACCATGTGTTTGATGAAATGTTTTAGTGAGTCTGTGAACGGAACTCCAACAAGTTAGGCTGAACAGAAAACTATAGCAGCCCGTCATGCTCTTTATCTGTTTAGTGTATGTCATTTTCATCTATTTTAAACACTTCTTTACTATCTAATCTAACTCTTTACAAAAGCAACAGAAAAATTCTCCCGCCTAAGGACGAACGGTTACTGTAGCACGTTTATTTGCATAACTTAATACGGAGTGCTCTGTAAAATAAATCTTAGATCTAAAATCAAAACGAACCACCACCAATTTGAATGGTCCGCAACCGATGACTCTTGAGACAATTCGAGGACGACTCGCTGACTACCTACGTAGCAGATGGCGATGATGAGAGACATTAATTTTGGGGGATAATCATAAACCAAGATGAGACTTTGGATGGCCGAACTTGCGGTGGTCAGTGAACTGCTTTGCTTCTACATAGGCATTAACCGATACTCTATTAATTGATTTTTAATCTGCTTTATTTCATTCTATGTAATTTTTAATGTGCTTTTTTTCATTGTTGAATGAAATCAAATATTTAGACAAGTTGATCAAGATGCGGTAAATTATGAACGATTAATAATGTTGAGATTCTTGATTTACCATCTTTAATTTTCATCTTGGACTTATTAAATACGCAGTGAATAATATGTTTGCTCAACATTTTAGATTTATACGGAGTATATTTGACTACCAGTTTATTTTAGAATTATTTTAGTTTTCTATTTACTGCAGACTACCTCTGTTTTATAAAAACGCATCCGACCTAATTTTTTGCGCACATCATAAAACACTTACTGCACCTAAAATGTCTAAAATACCTTCAATAAACGCATCCGACCTAATTTTAGATATTTTAAGTGGGGTATAAGTGTTTAGAGGTATGCTCAAAAATTAGGGCTGAAGTGTTTTGTAAAACGGATGGAGTATATATGATTATTTGAAAATTATTTGAGTAAGTTTTCAATTGTGATATATTTGTAATGTTTATAGATTTCATAAATTACATGGTCTGCTTTCATTGCATTTTGAAAATAAAAATTTACCATGGTAGTTTCAATACTTAATTTGATATCTGTTTGTGATTTTTTATTAATTTTTGTTTTTTTTGTAGAAAAAAGGCATGTATGGATAACTTAAGAGCTACAAAGGATTACAATAAAACTATGGATTATTTGAAGTCTATGTTTTTAACATTGTCCATATTACTGTTGAAGTTTTAAAGCTTCTTGATAGTGAACAAAGTAATTATTCTTATATACACCCCTGTTCCTTAAAACTCTTCTTCTTTCATTTTTTCTCCAATTCTCTAAAACACTTCCTTTTTTTATTAATAAACCTCTTTTACCACTACTTTTTCATACCCTATCTATAACATCATACTTTTTTTCTAATAACCAAACTACCACATCTTACTTTTACTCATCACATCAAGAGCGAAATTAGAAAGTCGACTAAAATTACAATCTCCTTAATTTGGCTAAAAGTCAAAACAAGAACCTTTTAAGGGAACGGATGGAGTATTATCTAAAGCTTTGATCTCTGTTGATTCATTTCTCTTTTGTTGATTTTGATCCCTTTTTCTTATTTGACAACGATCATGTAATTTGTGAAGCAATGTGTGCCGTTTGAGTTTTATAGCGGTACTAATGAAGCTAGAACTTCATCTTACTTCAGTTTAAAGAGAAGTCCATAAAAAACATTTTATTATGATGTTTTTGCTTGCCTTAATACAGAAAGCTTTTATTCAATTGAGTATCTCAACGACAAAGAAAATAATCCGATAAACCATACTTGGAATATTGTAAATAAAGGAGTTTTTATTATATTTCTATCTAACTAATATCATGCAATATTGATTGGTGAAACATACTACTACGTATATACTACCTCCGTCCCATTATCTTTGTCCACATTTGACTTTTGGAACTGTTCATCTAAGCACTTTGACTCATCAAATTCTTTTAATGTGTAAGCCTAAAAATAGTCATGTGTGATCTTGTTTGATTCGTCTTAACATATAGATTATTAATATATAATTTTTATAATTTTTTAATATACAAATTATAAGATAAAATGGATTAAAGAAGTGCATTGGATGATGTGCCAAAAGATAAGTGGACAAACACAGTGGGACGGAAGGAGTATAAACTATTTATATAAATTTGAACCTTAATGATTTATCATCTTTTTCCCAATTTTAGATTATTTTTATATTTCATTACCTTTATCGTTAGATAAAATTTTTGGCGTGCATTGCACGGGTTAGAATCTAGTTACTTATTTAAAATAAGTGATGCTAATGCTCCTTTTAAAATTTTGAAAATTTTAAAAGGTTAATAATAGGCTGTTTAATTACAACCGATGCTATTCCAGTTTTTTTTAAAAGATATTACTCCGTAGATCTATCGCGAGGAGAAGCTAAGCTATCAATCGGGAGAAGGTTTCTTTGCCGGAGGTCAAACGACTCTCTTTCCACTTCCGCAGCAAACCTCAGCCGCCGCACCCAAATCCGCTGGATTCCGGAGCGTTTGGGATGAAGAAGTACGGCCGCCTGTTTAATCTCAGTTACATTTGGCCCAACCGCATTTACCCTCGACGTCCTGTGTTAGCTCCGGCGTTGTCTCTGATGCTGGTCTCGACGAGAAAGATTTCATTCTTAACCAAGATTTCTTTTGGTAAAGCTTCAATTCACCCGTTTGGGGTTCAATTTATTCTTCAAATTCAGCTTTGATTTGCAATTGATTTATGGTTTCTTATGTAGTACCCCTGATTACAGTACCCCCAACAATTCCAAATGGGTTGGACTTCGAGAAGGTAAATTATCTTTCCTTTTTTCTTCTTTCTCTTTCAGATGTTGTACATAGCATATAATATCATTGGGTTTACCCGTCTGGTATTGGGCAATCCTCTCTACAGGATAATTTAATTTGTCCCAAGTCGATCACCCGAGAAAGAACAATTCGTTGGAAGCAAAATGCAGAGAATGGGTAACTCTATTTTCAAGTTTGTTTTCTCTGTTTTACAGCAATTTCACTAGTTTATCTTCTGTTCATGATTGCGTAGAGTGTTTAATGAGTCATTTAGTGTTTATTGCTTCTGGGAGTGCTTGAAGTTTCTTCATCTTGATGAAAAGATGGGCAGCTAGAAAAAGTATTTAGAAAGCCATTGGTTGGGCGACATGTTTAGCTAATTAAATACCGGTTCTAGAAAATTAATTGGTTAGTTGGAGAATGTTCTTGCTTGCAATACCTGAGTATGATATTATGAGTCATTCTAAAAGTAAGCTCTTCACAGGTTTAATGGAGCCATACCACCCACTTGGTGTTAACTTATCAATGATGATACATTTGTTGTCAGCCAAGCATTCTTTTTCACAGCTGCCATGCTTCGTAGCCTGTCAGCCCTCTATATCCACCTAGCTGTGATTTTCTTAGTATTACAATGTCTTCATTAATGTCATGAATATGGTAGTTCTTCCCATAAGTTGGCAAGTTAGTGTTGCTTGCTAGCACTCTTATTCAGTACTTTTTGTCCACATTTTTGCAGATGGCATTTCAGTTTCTTTTACTTCAAAATCTTGTAGCACGCAAGTACCTGATGCTACACATGTTACTTCTGTGGGAGATGAGACGACGAAGTTGGAAAAAACAACCAGGCCACCCAATAACCACGGTTATATTTCACCATCTGCCATGGCCTTAAGGTGTATAGGTATGCCTCCTCCCTGCATTCAAAACCCTTACCTCAAAGATGCTTTAGTAGCAAATATTGATCTGTTTGGAACTCGAGGATCAAAATATTCAGGTATTAGTTTTTTCCCTTGCCAGAAGTTTGTGTTTGTTTTACCTTGAGAAAGATTTCATTCTTAGCCAAGATTTCTTTTGGTAAAGCTTCAATTCACCTGTTTGGGGTTCAATTTATTCTTCCCATTCTGCTTTGATTTGTAATTGTTTTATGTTTTCTTATGTAGTACCCCTGATTACATTACCCCCAGTAATTCCAAATGGGTTAGACTTCGAAAATGCAAATTATCTTTCCTTTTCTTCTTTCTCTTTCAGATGTTGTACATAGCATATAATATCATTGGGTTTACCCGTCTGGTATTGGGCAATCCTCTCTACAGGATAATTTAATTTGTCCCAAGTCGATCACCCGAGAAAGAACAATTCGTTGGAAGCAAAATGCAGAGAATGGGTAACTCTATTTTCAAGTTTGTTTTCTCTGTTTTACAGCAATTTCACTAGTTTATCTTCTGTTCATGATTGCGTAGAGTGTTTAATGAGTCATTTAGTGTTTATTGCTTATGGGAGTGCTTGAAGTTTCTTCATCTTGATGAAAAGATGGGCAGCTAGAAAAAGTATTTAGAAAGCCATTGGTTGGGCGACATGTTTAGCTAATTAAATACCGGTTCTAGAAAATTAATTGGTTAGTTGGAGAATGTTCTTGCTTGCAATACCTGAGTATGATATTATGAGTCATTCTAAAAGTAAGCTCTTCACAGGTTTAATGGAGCCATACCACCCACTTGGTGTTAACTTATCAATGATGATACATTTGTTGTCAGCCAAGCATTCTTTTTCACAGCTGCCATGCTTCGTAGCCTGTCTGCCCTCTATATCCACCTAGCTGTGATTTTCTTAGTATTACAATGTCTTCATTAATGTCATGAATTGAGAAGTTCTTCCCATAAGTTGGCAAGTTAGTGTTGCTTGTTAGCACTCTTATTCAGTACTTTTTGTCCACATTTTTGCAGATGGCATTTCAGTTTCTTTTACTTCAAAATCTTGTAGCACGCAAGTACCTGATGCTACACATGTTACTTCTGTGGCAGATGAAACGACGAAGTTGGAAAAAACAACCAGGCCACCCAATAACCACGGTTATATTTAACAATCTGCCATGGCCTTAAGGTGTAGAGTTATGCCTCCTCCCTGCATTCAAAACCCATTCCTCAAAGATGCTTTAGTAGGAAATACTGATCTGTTTCTAAGTCGAGGATCAAAATATGCAGGTATTAGTTTTTTCCCTTGCCAGAAGTTTGTGTTTGTTTTACCTTGAGAAAGATTTCATTCTTAGCCAAGATTTCTTTTGGTAAAGCTTCAATTCACCTGTTTGGGGTTCAATTTATTCTTCACATCCTGCTTTGATTTGTAATTGATTTATGTTTTCTTATGTAGTACCCCTGATTACATTACCCTTAGCAATTCCAAATGGGTTTGACTTCAAGAAGCTAAATTATCTTTCCTTTTTTCTTCTTTCTCTTTCAGATGTTGTACATAGCATATAATATCATTGGGTTTACCCGTCTGGGAGTGCTTGAAGTTTCTTCATCTTGATGAAAAGATGGGCAGCTAGAAAAAGTTTTTAGAAAGCCATTGGTTGGGCGACATTTTTAGCTAATTAAATACCGGTTCCAGAAAATTAATTGGTTAGTTGGAGAATGTTCTTGCTTGCAATACCTGAGTATGATATTATGAGTCATTCTGAAAGTAAGCTCTCCACATGTTTAATGAAGTCATACCACCCACTTGGTGTTAACTTATCAATGATGATACATTTGTTAACAGCCAAGCATTCTTTTTCACAGCTGCCATGCCTCGTAGTCTGCCAGCCCTGTATATCCACCTTGCTATGATTTTCTTAGCATTACAATGTCTTCATTAATGTCATGAATAGAGTAGTTCTTCCCATAAGTTGGCAAGTTAGTGTTGCTTGTTAGCACTCTTATTCAGTACTTTTTGTCCACATTTTTGCAGATGGCCTTTCAGTTTCTTTTAGTTCAAAATCTTGTCACACACAAGTACCTGATGCTACACATTATACTTCTGTGACAGATGAGACGACAAAGTTGGAAAAAACAACCAGGCCACCCAATAACCACGGTTATATTTCACAATCTGCCATGGCCTTAAGGTGTAGAGTTATGCCTCCTCCCTGCATTCAAAACCCATACCTCAAAGATGCTTTAATAGCAGATATTGATCTGTTTGAAAGTCGAAGATCAAAATATTCAGGTATTAGTTTTTTCCCTTGCCAGAAGTTTGTGTTTTTTTTACCTTGAGAAAGATTTCATTCTTAGAGAAGATTTTTTTTGGTAAAGCTTCAATTCACCCGTTTGGGGTTCAATGTATTCTTCACATTCTGCTTTGATTTGTAATTGTTTTAGGTTTTCTTATGTAGTACCCCTGATTACATTACCCCCAACAATTCCAAATGGGTTGGACTTCGAGAAGGTAAAATATCTTTCCTTTTTTCTTCTTTCTCTTTCAGATGTACATAGCATATTATGTCATTGGGTTTACCCGTCTGGTATTGGGCAATCCTCTTTACAGGATAATTCAATTTGTCCCAAGTCGATCACCCGAGAAAGTACAATCCGTTGGAAGCAAAATGCAGAGAATGGGCAAGTCTATTTTCAAGTTTGTTTTCTCTGTTTTACAGCAATTTCAATTGTTTATCTTCTATTCATGATTGAGTAGAGTGTTTAATGAGTCATTTAGTGTATATTGCTTGTGGTAGTGCTTGAAGTTTCTTCATCTTGATGAAATGATGGGCAGCTAGAAAAAGTATTTAGAAAGCCATTGGTTGGGCGACTTGTTTAGCTAATTAAATACCGGTTCTAGAAAATTAATTGATTAGTTGGGGAATGTTCTTGCTTGCAATACCTGAGTATGATATTATGAGTCATTCTGAAAGTAAGCTCTCCACAGGTTTGATGGAGTCATACCACCCACTTGGTGTTAACCTATCAATGATGATACATTTTCTGTCAGCCAAGCATTCTATTTCGCAGCTGCCATGCCTCGTAGCCTGCCAGCCCTCTATTTCCACCTTGCTCTGATTGTCTTAGTATTACAATGTCTTCATTAATGTCACGAATAGAGTAGTTCTTCCCATAAGTTGGCAAGTTAGTGTTGCTTGGTAGCACTCTTATTCAGTACTTTTTGTCCACATTTTTGCAGATGGCCTTTCAGTTTCTTTTACTTCAAAATCTTGTAGCACACAAGTACCTGATGCTACACATGATACTTCGGTGGCAGATGAGGCGACGAAGTTTGAAAAAACTACCAAGCAACCCAATAAGCACGGTTATATTTCACAATCTGCCATGGCCTTAAGGTGTAGAGTTATGCCTCCTTCCTGCATTCAAAACCCTTACCTCAAAGATGCTTTAGTAGCAGATATTGTTCTGTTTGGAAGTCGAAGATCAAAATATGCAGGTAATAGTTTTTTCACTTCCCAGAAGTTTGTGTTTGTTTTACCTTGAGAAAACCGTGGTCTATAAAACACTCCTACCTACATCATGAAATTTATATTTCTTCTATAATTTCATTTCAAATTTTTTATCAAATATTACTTCAAAATTTATTATTTTTATTTTACACAGTCATTCTCTTCAAATTTTTGTGGATCCCAATTTAAATTGGAAATTTTCCAATTTGTTGCAACATCCAATTTTTGTTTCGAGTTCAACTTTGCAAACAAATCAATTTCCAAAAAATGTAGGACAAATTCCATCCACCAGAATACCCAATTTTCTTTCAATATACCAACAAAATAGTGCATATAACAAAGTAAAAAAAATTGAAAGCCACGTTAACATTATATGCAGTAAAGAATGGAATGAAATGGTCTTTTTTATTTAGTCCTATTCACTGCAAATTTCACTTTTATTTAAGTATTTAACCAGGAATAAAAAAACTCAAATTTTAAAAAATATGGTCAAATTTTTGTTCAATTCAAATATTATTTATTTTATTTTTGATTTTTTGTCTATAGTATTAAAAATCGCATAAGAAATATATTTACTTGATTTCTGGAAAAGTATTGCATTGAAAATATTTAGAACCGACAAAAAATTGTTCGACTAAGTGAGGAAAACTGAAAATGAAAATCATGTGGCATTAAAAAGTGATGATGTGGAAGAGAATAAAGGGGTACCATTAGTGATGCTCTTAACCACATGAGGAACATTACAATGGAGAGGGATGCTAGGGGTACATCTTTGGTGTACCCCAAATATACAGCACCAATTTTTCTACCACTCATTTTTATTTATTTATTTTTGTTTATTTTATTTGCCAATATATGTGGCATTAGAGGGGGTGGTGTACATTTGGAACTTAAGTTATGGTGTACTCCTTACATTTTTCTACAATGGAAACTGGCAAAAAAGAACTTAAGTATAGTTGGACTCTTGGGGTTGGACCTGACAAAAAATGATCCGACCTAATTTTTCACCTGAAACCCGATCTGAAAATATTGGGTTTTGAATGAGTTTTGAACAAAGGTTTTGTTGACCGAACTCAAAATGACCCGCTAAAAATAGGTCAAACCCGACCCGACCGACTTGTTAATGTAAGAGTTTTTCAAAATCATATACTCCCTCCGTTCTCAAAAACACTTGCTCTTTTATTTTTTCCATTTCCAATAAAACACTTCCCCTTTCTATTAAAAAACACTTTTATTTTTACTTTTTCATACTCTACCTATCATCACATCATATTTTTTCTCTAATAATCTATCCATCACATCTTACTTTTACCCATCAAATCAGGGGCAAGATTGGAAATCAACTATAATTTAACACTTTCTTATTTTTTGCCTCCAAATCAAAATGGGAAGTCTTTTTGCAAACAGAGGGAGTAGTTTACTATGAAATATAATGTTATAAAAATAAGGTTATAATTAGAATTTTTTCTTACTACTCATTTTTAGTGTAAAAGTTTATATTTTCAGACAATTTTAATGATATTGCATAATTATTTTACTTTTTGAAAAAAATTATGCATTTTTTAAATTCTTTATATTGATTTATATACCTAAAAAATTATTTCATAATTTAAAATAAAATAATATAATAGATTTAATACATATTTTTTTATATTTTAATTTTATTTAATGCAAAATGCAAGTGAATTTTAAAATTTTAAAAATCAAAGTCATAATCCGTTGGATTGGTCCGAACCCGATGACACTGGGTTATTAACATTCACTTCTCAACCCGAATTCGAATTAATCCGAACCCGAAGTGACAGAATCCGACCTGACTGACCCATTTGCCAGCTCTACTTGGGGTCATCTTAGATTTTAGATGGGGGCAGCTGCCCAAAGTACAAAAAATTTATAAATTTTTTGTGTGTTTAACATTAAAAGTTAGTAGGGGTATGGCTACAAAAGAAATGGATAGTAGGGGGAGATCACAAATCAATGAACAAGTCTGTCCAGTCTTGTCTTTTAGCTAGTGTGTTCTTGTGTTTTTGGGTAAGATAAACATTTATGTTAAGCTCAATTGGATGTACATTTTTTTGCAATATAAGGAAATATGTAACTAGGTAAATAAATGTGAGTAGAAGGAAGGTAGAAATAGAAATAAATGTTTGTAAATAGGGAGGTAGAAGGAATAAATGAATTCACTTTCTTACCCAGCCACACACACTGTACTATTTGTATTCGTATTCTTCAACCACATGATCTCCCTCCCTCTTCACTTTCCTCCCAAACATATCATCAGCTCCTCCATCATCCGGAATGGGTAATTTGTCTCCCATTTAGCATTTCACTTTTGAGCACATATTCATATAAGGGATAAGGGATTGGTAGCATGTCTCCCATTTAGCATTTGACCAAACAATTCTCCTTTTTTATATATAAGGGATAAGGGATTGGTAGCTACCACAATTGTATAGGCTACATTAATTATTGTCTCCTACTCTGATTAGGAAACCCTTGTATATAATCCCATGTTATCTCTCATTGTTAACTATTGGAAAATAATAATTCTGCACTTACCCCTTTGTATGAAAGCAAAGCACTTGTAATCGGTATGCTTATGATAACTGGTTGATGAGTCAATGCTTGCAGTATACTTTGCTCATTGTCTAGTAGCGTTCTCCAGTCATCCAGCTTGTAATGTGCCCCCTACGTTTTTTTTGTGTGTTACAAAATGTAATTAAGAAAGTAATAGTGCATTTTATATGTATATATATAACGTATGTGCATATATAATAATATAGGTAGGTAGCTAGGTTACCGAAAAACTTTGACCTCCTCGTTTAGTTCCAATATATGGACACTCCCTCTCTAAACAAGTACCATGCCACTTTAGGTGTTCTAAAGCGCAGGGAGTGGGACCACCGCGGCAACCTTTTTCTCCGGGGAAAACGTTGTTCAAAACCTCTTGCACGGAATATTTGGGCGGGATTTCATCAGGATTTGATATTTCGGAAACAGCATCGAATCCTTTTACGGAGCTCCAGACCCAACATGCCGCTGAAAAACACAAGTATTCAAACGTTAATTATTATACTAATGGAAAAAAAGACATCGATCATGTATAGTATGAATGTACTTACAACATTCCCCTTGATATCCTATTTCTGGGGGCACAATTCCACTTGCAACCCAGTTCACTTGGTCCGTAAAAGTACTACCCTATATGTGTATAATTAACAAGTTAATAAAGATCCAAAAAAAATGCAAGGAAGATATATTGGTGGTCCTCTTACCGGGAAGTTATAGACACTTTTCTCAAGATTTTCCTCTATATCTGATTGATGACTTGCTGTGAAGTTGGAGGAAAAAAAGGGTCAAATTAGTGCAAAATAAATTTCGTTTGGAAAGATGTATACATTAATAATACTCCCTCCGTCCGCCTAAGATGTTCTCATTTTGACTTTTGGTGGTTTTTAAGGAGAGTTGAAAAAAGGTGAAAGTTTACCATAATACCCTTAATGAAAAATGGGTGGAGTGTATTAAATGATGTGGGTGAAGTGTAATAAATAAAGTAAGTGGGGTAGTTGTGGTATTTTACTTGTTAAAAAATGAAATGAGAAGATCTATTGTGGACAAAAAAAAGGGCTATTGGGAAGATCTATGGTGGACAGAGGGAGTATATGAATATGTGCTCAAAAGTGAAATGCTAAATGGGAGACAAATTACCCATTCCGGATGATGGAGGAGTTGATGGTATGTTTGGGAGGAAAGTGAAGAGGGAGGGAGATCATGTGGTTGAAGAATACGGATACAAATAGTATAGTGTGTGTGGCTGGGTAAGAGAGTGAATTCATTTATTCCTTCTACCTCCCTATTTACAAACATTTATTTCTATTTCTACCTTGCTTCTACTCACATTTATTTACCTAGTTACATATTTCCTTATATTGCAAAAAATGTACATCCAATTGAGCTTAACATAAATGTTTATCTTACCTAAAAATACAAGAACACACTAGCTAAAAGACAAGACTGGACAGACTTGTTCATTGATTTGTGATCTCCCCCTACTATCCGTTTCTTTTGTAGCCATACCCCTACTAACTTTTAATGTTAAACGCACAAAAAATAATAAATTTTTTGTACTTTGGGCAGCTGCCCCCATCTAAAATCTAAGATGACCCCAAGTAGAGCGGGCAAATGGGTCGGTCAGGTCGGGTTCAGATTAATTCGAGTTCGGGTTGAGAAGTGAATGTTAATAACCCAGTGTCATCGGGTTCGGACCAATCCAACGGGTTATTACTTTTATTTTTAAAATTTTAAAATTCACATTAACACCTGCATTTTGCATTAAATAAAATTAAAATATCAAAAAATATGTATTAAATCTATTATATTATTTTATTTTAAATTTTGAAATAATTTTTTAGGTATATAAATCAATATAAAGAATTTTAAAAAATGCATATTTTTTTTTAAAAAGTAAAATAATTATGCAATATCATTAAAATTATCTGAAAATATAAACTTTTACACTAAAAATGAGTAGTAAGAAAAAATTCTAATTATAACCTTATTTTTATAACATTATATTTCATAGTAAACTACTCTCTCTGTTTGCAAAAAGACTTCCCATTTTGACACAAAGTCAAAATCAACTTGTGGGGTGCAATTGAAGGGAGTGGGGGGGGGTGTGTGTTCGGGTTGTGGCCAGGTGAGGAGGTTTACCGGGGGGGTTAGGGGAGTAGGAACCGTCAATTTTACGAACGTGGCACCAGAGTGCCCCCAGGTCATCCCATGACATTGAGGTCCAATGTCACTTGAACTTTGGTGAACATAAGTTATGTAACATAATAAAATTAGTGAAACACAAATATGGTATTGCATAAAATAAGATGATTAATGGAAAAAAGAAAAGTTTCTTCTTTAACTAACAAAATTTTCAGTAAAATTTTTACTACAATATTTTGCTTGGATTTCAATTAACTTTAAAAATCAGTCAATTGAATAAAAAGAAAATTAAATCATTTTTATAGAAAAATAAATTAAAGCAAATTAAAAAATGGGAAATTTTAACATTTAGTAATAAACTTTTGATCTTATTATTTTTATAATAACTTTATTTAATATAAAAATAATGTTCCCTCAAAAATTATAGTATTGACTACTGAACTTAAAACTAATAAAAGTTTTCATTTATTTACAACGTAACGTATAATGATAGATAAGATACTCAGTTGACATCTATATAAATTTTACATACATTTAATATACTCCCTCCATTCCAATTTAAATCGGTTGTTTTGATTTTTGGCATATTTAAGAAAAATAAAAATTAGAGTTGATTTTCCGAAATTGTCATTATTTTTTTAGGAGGTGTGAAGATGAATGAGAAGATAAGGTGAAGTAAAGTGACTTATTTTAGGAATAGTTTAGATACTTAATTTTTTAAAGTTTATGAAAACAACTAACATGCAACTTATTTTGGGACAGAGAAAAAGGCAAACAGACAATTTAAAATGAGACAGAGGGAGTAATATTTAAAAACTAGATCAAAAAAATTATTGTTGATTGAACACAAATAGATGATTAGTTAATTTACAATATATTTTTCAGTATAAATGTAAACTTAGTGCATAATTTAAAAAGTAAATTTTTTAAAGTAAAAAGTAAAACTTTAATAATGATAAGTTTATGTTTACTATTATTCTCATATAAACAGAATATGTTTAAATTAGCCAAATATATAAATATAATGAACCTAAAAAATTTAGGAAAAATGTACAATTTTTATCTTTTCCTTTATGTTTACTATTATTCTCATATAAACACATATTTTTCTATAAAATCTATCTATGAAATTGTTATTATATTAAAATATAAACCTAGATTCATTAAAAAGTGAATTACAATTAGTTGTCTTATCGCATTGCCTATTGATAGATTACATTAATATTAAACACGCATGTATATGTGAAGGATAATACATTAATTATTTGTAAATAACTTACATAGACATTTCATTTTTGGTCTTTTGGAGATATTACGGGATGCGTGGGGAGGATGTGTTTATTAATTTCCTCTATGACTTATTATTTTACACTTCACTAATCAAATTTATAATTTTGATAGAAAAATTTATTTAAAATTTTAAAGGAAAAGTTTTAATTTTTAATACAAATTTTAGAAAACTTTTTATCCACTGAAATCTTACTCTTTATAATCTAAACTTTCATATTCAATTCACTTATCATGTGAAAATAGTGTAAAAATTTATACAAACAGTTGTCTTTTGAAAAATTTAATAAAGTTTATATAACCTTTAAAAAAGTAATTAGTTAATTATAAGATATTAAAATATATTTTAAAATGATGACGGACATATTAATATAATAATTAGAATATGAAAAGTATTATAAATACAAGTTTATGGTAATTAAAATAAATAATCATGAACAATCTTTTAAATAAAAAATAAACTAATAAATGCCATGTGGACCAATAAAATGATGACACTATGCCACGTAGATACAAATTTTGCCATGTCATATGCCACGTGTATCCACTACAACTAAAGAACTCTCCTTTACATATATATAGGATAGGATATAGGATATACGGAGTAGAATATAGGATATGATATAGGATAAGATATAGGATATATAGAACATGATATAGGATGTTACAAAAATTATGATAATATCCTTTCCAAATTCTATTTTTTCTCTTCGTTTAACACAAATAAAACACTCTCCTCACCTATAATTAAATTTTATATTTTTTTATTAGTTTAATTAGTTTGATTATATTTATTTAAATATTGACAACTAATAAATAAAATAGTTTTTTTACCTATTAAAAAATTTTATATTTGTTTTGACACCTAATATGTCGACTAATTTAACGTATATAAAATGTGAAATAAATATTTTAAGATTAAATATTTAAATACGTATAGGTATGGAAAAAAAATTTAATTTTATGATAATATTCTTTCCAAATCCGAAATTTCTTACTTCAATGATCAATCCCTTCATTTATAATAAAATTTTTAGTTAATAACTAAGATGTTTTTTAACTCTAATTCAATGTCATACAAATATTAGTATATGATGTTAAAATGAAGTTTTTTATTCTATTTATTGCAATATTGATGTAAAAAAAATATTTTTTTAAAAAACAAGATTTGAGTGGTCTATAATTTTCTTAAAATAGAAAAAATATCATACGTAATTTCATAGTTTGAATATAGTGATTTTATGATTTGAATTTACTTGAAAATTTATGGTTTATACACCTTAGATAATTATTTATGTTTTAAAATTAAATTTTATTGTTTTTAATTATCTATTGTGATAGAATATTTTTAATTGAAAAAATAGAAAACCGTTGAACCAAAAGTTTGTCAGCACGACACATTATGTTTACACTAACATTCTTTACAATTTTAACATTATTGAGTTAATTTAATTATGGAATAAAGATCACCGCTTTTATTAGAATGTATTGTTTAATTTATATTTTTTCACTTCATTTCTAATAAAATTTTTAGTGAATAAATAAAATTACCTTCCTTAATAAAAAATGTTTTCTTAACCTCTAAAAAATTGATATTTGTTTATGACATGCTTAAATGAAGATAGTTTTTATTTTATTTTCTAAATAATGATGTACAATAAAAAAAACAAAAAAATATACTTCTTAATCTCTGTATTAAAATACTCTAAATGGTTAGACTATTTTTTAAACAATAAACTATTTAAATTAAATGTATTTATAAAGAACTATCAAATGTTTTTGTTAATATTTACTTAGAATCATAGGATTGCCAATACTTTTTTATATTTATTTTTTGAACTAATGCAAAGGGAGTATAATAATTGGATTTTCAATGATTATTTAAATTGAGTTTTTGAACAATAGAATTGTATTGAAAGATTCTGGTTTTTGAATAATGCAATAAGAGAATAATCATACAAAGTATTTTTTAATCAATGTGAGTGAGGAGAATCATCTTAATGTGGGAGAGTACTTATTTCACTAATCAAAATTAATTGGTGATACGGGATAAAAGAATCATATTTTTTGAATTATAAGATCGACAATCCAATTTATTAATTAATGCAAAGGAGAATAAATATAGGATCACTAATTTTGTTTAATACAAAGGAGGAAAAAACATCAAAATTTCTCAAAATCAATACAAGAGAGAAGAATTATATTAATCGAGATAGATGAATCATTTTTTCCAATCTAAACTAATCCGGTAGTGTAGGAAATCATTGTTTGCTCATCAAAGGCGGTTGTATAAAAGTCGAATTTATGAATGAGAATAAACATTTAGGAATATTAAGCCACAAAGTAATTTTAATTTGAAGAAAGATGAACTCATTATGTTATTTGGAACACTCATTAACCATTATGTAGTAGTATAAGGTTATTCAGTGAAGAATTGCAAAAAATCTTCTCCCGGACAATTATAATATTAGGAAACAACGTCGTTAAGGTTACACAACCTAAGTTAATTATGTTCGTTTAATATAGGATTACCCTTGAAGTTTCAAAAATTACATTTTTCTAAATTTTATGGTTCGTTATGATTATAATTAAAAGTTAGGGCCAACCATTATCATTTATAGGATTGCATTTTATCAAGTCGGTATTCACTAATAGTTAATTTAATATTGATGTTATACAAATTGATGTTTCACAAGTGAGAGTAAAAGTAGAGTTGAAAGTATTAGCTTAGATGTCTCTAGTAGTCTTTATAACATGAGTAAATTCTATAATTGGTCCTTTATAACAAAGGTTTTCCCTATTTGGTCCTTTATTATCAAATATTACCAAGTGGTCGTTCTTTTATGGGTACCTTTCCACAAATAGTCCTTTTTTTGATCTTCTATCATGTT